CGAGCTGAAAACCGTATCCTTCGACTAACCAAATTCTGACTCGCAAGGCAGCGGGGCGGTTTCTGAAAATCTTATAGACAGATGATCCAACAATACTGTGCTCTAGAGTGTTTCATGCTTGCATTATCTAAGTCCTGACGTGACTAAAATCATTGGATACATATTACTCGCAACAGGACATCACATCACTATGGATTTATTCATGTATGAAAAGTAGATGTATGAGGTTCTTAACTCCGTTATGCTGGTTTGCGAATTCGCCATCACCACGGAATCGTGAAAGATGCGCTCGTCTAACAAGGTCTTGCCATGCCTGTCTGGCTAGAGAGCTCGATTCACTAAACGAAACGTTTTCTTTGTTGTCTTTTATTGTTCAGTATCTTTCTTGTGAAATTCAATACTGTTCTAGAATCGAACATGTGGCTATTTAGCCATTGAAAAGTGAATTTACTACTGCCTTGTCAACTTTGTCATTAATAGGATGGGGTTCTGGTGACAGATGTTTTCAATGTAAGATGCCTGATGCATAGAAAAAGAGGTAGACTCCTATTTGGTTGAGCGAAAGTTTACCCCTGTTGATTCTGTCAGGCGGAGAGTAGAATAAGTAGGAAATCGTCCTGGACGCACACAAAGAATTACAATTATGAGGAAGAGGAAATTTCTGAGATCAATTGAAACAATGGAATTGGTGGAACATAGTTTTCAATATTCACTATCCAAAATGGTCGCACAGAGATTGCGTTTACTGGATGAAGAGTATGTTTCAAGAGGTTTTTGCAGGATAAAAAAATGACTCCTGGTCGTAATGCCCCACACAACAATGACCCTCGTGTCTTAGTTGAGTGTAGTCCAGACAGAAAACTGATCACTATTGATGGTCATAGAGGAAGCACAAAAATTGTGATCAGAAAGAAAATGATGTAGGATGATGACATCGTCGAAAAAAGCGTAGATAAGAAAAAGCAATTGAGAAATAATGTCATAGGTTAGGCAAACGAACAGGACGGAAGATTTTACGGAATCTTGTGAGATGAGAAAATTGTCTGGGGTTTTCTTCGAAAGAACTCCGGCAAAACAAGCCGAAATTCGGCCCCCAGANGATGACACCCAGGTGAAACTTCGAGGTTGAAAAGTAGCCTTCTCAGTCATGCTCCTTGGCGTTGTCCGTCGCGACATCCGAATTTTAGTGACGGGTCGGGTATATGTTGCAGCAGTTCGGCCAGTTCTGCTCTACGGCGCAGAGACTTGACCTCTGCGGAAATAGGATAAAAACAGATTGTCGGTGTTTGAATATCGCTGTCTACGTCGCATTGCACGAGTCTGGTGGGGAAACCGGACGAGCAATGCTGAGGTTAGGCTTACAGTTTTAGGTATTCACGGTCGTCTACTGGAGCAAATGGTCGACCTCCATAAACTGCGTTGATCGGGGCATGTGTTACACATTTCACCAGATAGGCTACCGCGGCGAGCGAGGCAGGTAGCGGCTGAAAAAAGGTTAAGCGCGGTCAAATGAAGACCTGGCATGAGGGTATGAAAACCCAAACCCGTAGACTGGGTCATACAGGTCGAGTTAGGCTCCCTGGCTGGGGACCCCAAGATGAGAGTCATCTGTTGTTAGAGACACTGAGCGATATGCCTGGGTGTCGCAAGCAGTGGTGCTCGTGCATCTATTCATTATCCTCCTAACTTCAGTCTATATGAAATCTCTTCCACTTGAATTTGCTTTCAACCTTCCAATCTTCATTCTGCTCTTTTATCCGAATGGACTACCAAAAGACAGCAACCAAAACGGGCGCACAAACGTGCTTGGTTAATGGTTGTTAAAACTGAACTGAATTGAACTGCGTTGTCCGTGGCAGTCATGCTACTCGCCATAGTGGTCTATTGTGGAGGACGAAATGTGTACCCGTAATCCAACAACCCTCCTTCCCAGAAGGGTTTGGACACTGAATTAATGTTGGCGCTTGTGGTGATGTTCAAGCGACAAGAAACGCAACGTTAAACAGATACTCCGTTTTGTGAATCTAGAAAACAAAATTTACTTCACGGTGGTTATTGGGCGAGGAGCGAATAACGGAGGCACATGGAGAAGAATTGGGAGCCAAAGGGTATCCCATACCTCAGTCTATTCAGATAGCTAAAAGATTCCCAGCAGCGTTCTTAGCCATTGCACGCAATGAAAGGTGAACAATACCCGAAACTGCGACCTGATAGACAATCAGTGTATTATTTAATCTCAAGCGAAACAGGTTTGTCTTTGTCCTAAGTGATTGTTGTTTGATGCCTGGTCGCAGTTTCCCTTCCTTCACAACACGTTTTAGTTCGATCACCTTGCACATTTTCCCATCCACCATCTGGTTTGGCTAAAATTGCACAGCTATGAAGCCTATCTGGTACCGTATCCCTGTCATCCTAACTTACTTTGGTGGATGAACACTATTACCTAAAGCGCTACGGCTCACCTCGACATTACTTACCCGTTTCCCCACCAGGCTCGTGGAATAATGGCGTTGGTAGCTATGTTTAAACAAAGAAATCCCGTTTTTACTTTTCTCTCTCCGGGTCATGTACGTACACCGTAAAGCAACACCAAACGGACTGCTTCAGTATGTAGTTCACTCTCACAGAACGTCGGATATCCTAATTGGCAAAAGCCAGCTGAGCCTTCTTTCTCTGTGTGTGGCGCAACTTCATCCGATACTGGTCTAAATTAACTTGATTGAATAGAAAGGGAGATAAGGAAAACAGACTTCTGATTAGTACCTCGTTTGTGGTGAACCGCGACTGAAAAAAACTGTGATTAGCTCAATGTCTATCGTTCTTTCACCTTGCTTGCTTTGGAGCTCGTTTGATGACCAAATTATGCTCTTCATCTGGAACTTGTTCATTTTCCAATTTGCAATCCATCATTTTTAGTAACTCTAATATCAGGATTAAGCCTTACCTTGCAAGCCAATGTAGATGGCTATCTCGGGTACCTTCTGGGTGACGTATTTCATTTGCAAACTCTATCTTTCATGAGAACGGTTATTTGCTGGCAAATTTGCGCACTTGAAGTCGACGTTCGTACGTCCATTTACGAAGCTCATTTTCTAAACTGGTTTGAAGCATCGTGCCCAGCTTTCTATTGAGTGGGAATGTTGGACTCCTTAGTTGCCTCATTTATGCCTAATCTTCATGTAATTGTACCCCGAATTCGACAAAACAATTGTCACCGTAACCTAATACCATATTTTTTGTCTTCTCGCATTGCACTCCTCATATTCCATGGGATTCGAAATTTCAGCGTTAAAGCTTTTTACGAATAAGGTATCCCACTTGGACTGTGTGGCAGATGTTTGCTACTGGTCAAAGATCTGGTCCAGTTGCACTATCTTGTCGTCCAGGTTGAGGGATGCCCTACACGTTTGGCGTACCAGTTGACCTTTTCTTTTCGATTCATGTCTGTGCTAACACTTTTAAACAGCACTTGTTCGGTTTTAGGATCCTACTGATCAGTGTTATTCTTTCTACTGCCAGGTCATTTTCAGATGCAATAGAAAGGGAGCGTACTTTGCACGGAACACACTCGATCAGTAATCCGGGCTCAGTTGAACTCTCCACTCGACATGCTGACTTGGATTCCACGACCTGCAACTCACCTTTGACAGATGGTTTGGCTCAACTTCATATGGATCAATGTTAAATGAGATGTACTACATTGCTGTACTGCTCCCGTGGTCCCTGTATTCATACTTCAGCTCAGCAAACCTTCCCCCACCTGCGGTACTCGCGGATAAGTGAAGGTTCTGAATTTGGGTACAACCAAGTCCAAATCAGTTCGACTTGCGGAATTCCCGATTGACTCTGTTCTGCTAGGCTATACATGCTTTGGGCAGTTCTCCAATTAGCTTAACGACCGTTGCTGGTGCTACTATTACCATCGCTGTGCGATGCCCGCTTCACTTCCTCGTTCCATCGTAGTAAAATCCGGCATATCACGTGTAAATATTCTACTCAGACCGGTTCACTATATTATTTCGTTTCTTCATCTTCTGGATATCGCTAACCACTGTTTCTCTGTCTTCTGACAAGCGCCATTTCCCCTCAAATATCGATCGACCACTGACGACTTACGTGCTCTCTTATCCGNTCTTATCCGTGCTTCATTCCCAGTAATTTCAGCACGTGCCTCCCAGATCTTTGGTACCTATTACCCTTATATGCTTTCATTTTGATCTCGATCTCTCTCGTGCGCGGGGCGGATTTGTCCTCGTTATCCCTTATTTTCATTCTTTTTGCTTTATCATCCAGATTCTTTTGCTTTCTTCCTAGACCATAACCACAGAGTTCGCTGTGTCATTTTCGAAACAACGTCGGGAATTACTGTTCGCTTGTGCGTACACACACACACACTCTCCATCTGCCTGTCTTTCCAGGTTTCGATTTGTTGTCCACTGAGGCTGCATACCATGATGTGATTTGTATGGAAGCATGATTATGTCATTCTATATATAATGCAATCGATGACTGTGCATCTGGTCTTCCTGGACCCCAAAATCGACTCCTAATCCTTCCGAATTGTACATAGATTCACAAATACACCAGCTACTTAATTTACTCGTCTCCGGGTTGTGCACGTAATCACTCGTGTGAACCAAAAAACCAAAAAGTTTGAGCTTAGTTAGCGATTGTGCGTTTTTCTTTCAACCATTTTACCATCTGGTTCTGTCCATATCTTTAACCCGCTCTCATTTTCATTGCCGATCCGGTCTCTCTTCGTTTCTTCTCTCTTTCTCTCTCTCTCTCTCATTTTATCCCTCAGCTATTCCGGAATTGTCGGGATAGGAATAACCTCAAACGCGGCTGGGTTTTTTGGATTAGGCCTGAATTCTTTGGTTTTTTGCCTTTACATGCACCGCCATTGTTTTTTTATTGCCATTCAAACAAAATGTCATCGGACAATTTTCGCGCACGATCGCGCAATCACAACTTTTCGAAGAACATGCCCACCTTCTGTCCCCTGGATGATAGTTCCTTTTCACCGTGTCTTACTTCGTTCGCTAGTCGACTGTGGCGCAAATGTTTTTTTTTCTAATCAACGAATGCCGTTTTCATGAAAATGATCTCATTGAATCTTTTGCGCACGCTCAGCTGTCTATGCACCCCCACCTCTCCCCCACCACGCTGTCCCGTTTTTTCTCTCCCATGATTTGTACGCAGATGGCCTGGGAAACCGTTCCCTGATAAGTTCGCTTTTGTGCTTTCTGACTCGATCCATTCATGGGACGTTTAGATTTCAAATAACTTTCATCTGACGCTTGTATATCTGTGTATGGATTTGAATGGACCCCTCTCATGATAGGATCGCATCCCTATTCCCTCGTGGATCTCACGCTCTTTTACTTTTACCAATTTGTGATCCGCGGATATGATACTGGTTTGTTCACCCTTCTTTCTATCATCTCAATTTATTCCTTTTTCTTGTCTTTTTCCTTCTTTTCCAAAGGCAATACAAATTTAGAACACTTAGTCATATCATCTATGCCAATGCCAATGTGTTGAGGTCGCATGGTTTTCATGAGAATGTATTTTCTCGCTCTCTCAAGGTGGTGTTCAAACAGCACTCTATATTGCTCGTTTTCCTAGCTAAGTACTTGCATATCGTCTATTTCCGCTAGAGTGGAAGTGAGCGTAATTTCACGCGCATACGTTGATCCCCTCGGATGTCATATCTATTGTGATCAGTTAGCAAATCACTTCGAGCTGCTGTGTGAACACTAACATCATCCACAGGGAAGCTTCAATTTAACACGGCCTCGGTCGGACCTCTGAGTTGTTGAGATTTGTTGAATACGGTGCTATTGGTGACCAAGGCGTGGTTAGGAATGCACATTCTATATGTGTAATAATTTGTTAAATTTCTATATATCGCGCCGACAGTAATGCATTTTGCACATACCGTCTGATGCTCCGCACTGTTTCACTGCACCTGCCACTCACGCTTTTGACACTTCATAGCGTTGAATGATGAAACGAACTGCGTCATGAGTCGAATGGGAAATGCTTTCTTCCGCTTGTCCCAGTGGTCTTGTGACTCTTTTCCGTCTGAAACCAGATCCATTCATTGTTGTTGCATCTCTCGGCATCATCCTAAATGATGAAGGCTTCGAATCGTACAGCCATAACCACTGACCTAATCTTTGATTGTTACAATCGGCCGCATGATATGTTCCATTTTGTGGGTTATTTCAAACCTGACCATTTTTCATATAAAACACTTGGAATCCAACACGACGAGGCTAAACTTTGACGTAGTGTGATGGCTTGCCTGTTTCCATGACCCTGCGAGCTACACAGAATGGCTCCTCATAGCCGCAGGTGTTATCATAACATTGACCAGTGATAGAGATCAGTTTCACTAGACCAGCTGCTTGGGCACTTGGCTTCCTTTTACTCTCAACCCGCGCCCCTTGTAACGGTCACTCCAGCAAATAAGCGCGTGAATGGATAGTCTGGCGGTCGGAAAACCCCTGCTGGATGGGCGTGGGAGTGGGGTACTTGTGACTTCCTCTTGACGATGGAAGAAGTCTCCATCTGCCACCCACCCATGCTGGGCACTCCCCAGCCAATAAGGTACCGCTCCGCCGGTCTACTTAGGTGCACGAGTTCACGAACAGCGGATCGTCATTCAACCGACCAGCGAACAATACACTTTCTTTTGAGTGATCTTCTCCAATAAGACCAACTAACGTGGACAAGAAAGATACCCGAAGGTGGAATGCGAGCATATTGTATTTAACCGTTTTGAGCGGTGGCACAGACGATCACAAGCTTCAAGGTGAACTTGACTAGCGATGATTAGGAAACAATAATAAACCTGTAACTTCTTTTTAAAGAGCGCCAAAGCATAGCGAAATCCTTCGCCAATCGATCACTGATAATATTTAATTCGATGATAAAAAGCGCCATAGTTTAGCGTTTTGACTTTGGGAATACTTTCGGGTTTGTAGATGTAAAATGAGTAGTTATTCCAATTATTCTGACATTCAGCGTATCGCCAGTAAACTTCGACGACGTTTTTTCATATCGTTAAAACATTACAATTATTATTATTGTTATTTTTACAGTTGCATACTCGATAATCGATTATTTCCAAATTTTTGTACCAGTGTGTTCCCCCCGTTTTCGTTTCTTATCTCCCAATGAAACTGCTTAGACGTGTATTGACCATTAATAACCACGTCCCATCAATACCGCTTGAAGAGTTAACAACTAATATGTATGGATGTAAAAAGTTTGCACAAGATTCCTATTATTTACACACACTGATCTAACTGCCTGTGGTTTCGATCCGTCAACTACATCCCAATGTCGTTACGTTTCCTCTCGAATAAGTATATATTGTAAATCTGCTCTATCCTCTTAAACACTTATTCTAGTTAAACAAGAACATGTTTACACAGACATGGTTAGAAGTTTGGGATTAAACTTTTACCCCTTTCCATTTTGTACACCTAACTGAAATGTAGGCTTTACTCGCAAAGAAGTTATAGTTACATTTATTTCTCAAAAATGTGAGAACGTACATAGGGATATACCATTGGGAATACCCGGGTAAACTCTTAAAATGATACAAATTGAGTGCGTCAGATGCAATCGTCGAGGTCGCAGTAACCCAAACGAACTGTAGCTTCTGACTTGAGGTATGATAAAAACGTCAAGGCTACAAAGTTGACAAACGGTATGGTCCCAACTGTTAGGACGGAGCCTAAGAAACCCGTCCGATCGCGCACGCCTCCGAGTCAGGCCACACGCACGCTTGCAACGCCAATGTTTGTCCAATCGATCAATCGATATGTCAAGGGCACTATCTGATTGGTGCGTCACTGCGCCGTCCTCGTATGCACGATTAGTTCTATATCTTTTGACATAGCGATAACTTATCGAAGAATACACGCTGACTGTGTCGCAACTTGTGTTCTCTCTCCGCGTTGTCGTTGGGGGTTAAGCAAGAGTCTGCTCGTGCAGTTCGTACACATAGACGAATCACAACACCAACCTCGTGCCCCATAGAAGCTGTTCGATCTCGCAAATCCTAGACGCTGGTATGTATTACTCGGTCTAATGTACCCTGGTTCGGTGACAGTTGGCTGGCGGCGATTGAGTGGTAGGCTCGTCGAAATAACCACTGGGGTTCGAACCCCACTGCATCTTCCCATTATTTGTGTTTCTCTCGATAGCCTTTATATGACTGCAGTCCCGTCCTTGAAACTTGATTGTACATTTTTTATAAATAATAATAAAGAAGTAAAGACATTTATTCGTCATCATTATTCAAAAATTAGTTATTTGGCAAAGTTAAATCAATGCATTCAGGTCCTCTAAAAGTGATATTTTATTTTTTTTTGTGCAGCGAAGGCTACTATTTTCGCTCTCACTTTGATTTCAGGCAAGTGTTCGCAATCCACCTCGAGTTGCAATTCAACCAAAAAGATTTTTTTGTTTGTGGCATTCTTCTATAATTAGAAATTTCCACTCACGCTATCAGATCAAGCAAAGAATGTGGTCCGTTGTGTCGGTGTCTGTTTTAGGAATTTTCTTCACCTACAGTGTGCCCCTCGGAGCGAGCTAAATGTGGCCACACCACGCGCATAACGCTTCATCACAAATTGCCAAACTGATTTCGCTGGCTTGCGTATGCTT